GAGAGAGAGAGAGAGAGAGAGAGAGAGAGAGAGAGAGAGAGAGAGAGGTGCTTGACTGTTGCGTGCTCGGGTGTTTTTCTCTGGTGACATTGAGGGCCAAATGCCTTGCCAAGATTATTAATGAGTTGCCGCTTATTTCAGGGTCAGCCACAGTCTCTCTCACACACACACACAGTCCGCTTCTCTGACCCCTGAACAGTATAAACACATTGGCTCAGCTGCTGGCTCCTCTGAGAGTACATCTGACCAGACTTCCATTGTAGTGATTTATCCCCTCTGCTCCTGCGCATCTCCCTCTATTGACGAGCTGGAAAAACCTTCCCTCCGTCTGTCCCGGCGTATACAGTCAGGATAACGTTCATTCATGTTTTTAAATGAGAGCTTTGCAGCAAAGACACCGTCTTAGTGTGTTTCTCTATTCGGAAAGGTTTCCAGATTATATTCTATCACCACAGGCATATGTTCATGTTAGTTTGATGAATATTGTATTTCCACTTGGCTCTCCCCCCCTCATCTATCCAGCTGATGGAGCCCGTCTGCCACCAGCTGTTTGAGCTGTACCGGAGCTCTGAAGACCGCCTGCGCCGCTTCACCCTGCAGTTCCTGCCTGAGCTGGTGTGGGTATATCTGCGCGTCACAGCCAGCAGGGATCGCCAGAGCAATGGGTGCATCGAGGCCCTCCTCCTGGGCATCTATAACCTGGTGGGTGTCTGTAGTGGCGCTTGAGGGGGGGGTAAAGACAAGACCTAATACAATATGTACATTTGGCTGTGCTTTTCTTTGAAACACATCTGATGACATTTGTTTCTACGATAGCTAGATGGACTCTGTGTCTGCACCAAAACGTTGATATGCAAATCCCTGGGTATGGTTTAGACCAAATACAGGTAGGACACTAGTGAGGCTGTACATCTGTTGACATTAAAGATGATCTACAGGGAAAAGCCCCGATAATGGAGAGACCCCGGATGGATTGCATCACCAGGAAACACCCTTGGGGAAATAGGCTAAGAGCTAGAGATATCAATAGAAAGAGCTCCATGTCAGCCAGCACCGCTAAAGGTATAACTATGCATAATTTATTCCTCTGTGTCTATACCACACACACACACACGCTGTACATGCTCATAGACCTCTCTCATTGATGACTGAACTCTGATAAACAGCTTTGCTCTCAGCAGATATTCAGAGATATACTGTTGGGCGGTGAAGGGCAGGACAAGGCCTGAACCGATCGTACACTCGGGGTGAATATAAAAGGATAAAAAGCCTTTTTGGTTCCACGTACCGAAAGGACGCTTGGACGGGTGGATGGATATATGTTGTTCATCTTTACTTACACAAAGCCAGGAAATATAAAATCTGATCACTTTTAATCAGCACATGTGGAAAAAGAATAGCAGTAAAAGCACATTTATCCATATTTAATGATATCTTTATACATGATATTATAGGATATAATTCCCCCAACATCCACGTCTCCCATAGATTATACAGATAAAAGTGTGGAACGTTACACACTCAAAGGAAACATGGAACATTGCCATGCCTCTCAATCGGTTAACAAAGCCCGTTATGCTGTAAAAGCCATCGCCTCCATAACTCTCACACACCACTTGAATCCTTCTCAGCCGCACATAATTAGTTCACAGAGCAAAGTAGGAATAACGAGTGCTTTCTGCCAAACGAAGGATGCTGAACTCCACGTCTCTGTGATTTTAGTCGTCACTACTGGAAACGGCATTGTTTTTGGGACTCTCGTTTATGTATGACACTGCTTTTATGTCTTGTTGGTTTTGCAGGAGATCGTGGACAAAGATGGCAACAGCAAGCTCCTCTCTTTCACAATCCCGTCTCTGTCCAAGCCGTCGATATATCACGAGGTAGGGCTCTCGTCCGTGCTACCTGCCTCTCCTCTCTGTGTACTTAGTCGTCGTGGTCGCTTTGGCTGCTTCTGCCTCCTTCTCTCTGTCTTTGCATTCTTCCCCCTGACTGTTGGAGCGTTATAGAGACTTGTATAACGTTTTTTTTTTTGGAGGTGACATCTCCTCAGGAGGTCAATTTTCATTAACCTCACCTCCAGTGCGTGTCCATCTGTGCGTTTTATGATCTCGGTGTGTGTCTGACATCGGTTTTCCACACAGTTACGGCTGTCATTTTTTGTTTGTACAACCAAAAGCTTCCTTGTCCGCCTATCCTTCTCTATGACGGCCGGGTGCCTGTTTTTCAAGTGTTGCCATTTTGTTTTGAAGTTCCTCTGCCACAGTTTCTTTGAAAACTTTCAGCATAAAAAGTTTGGGTGGGCTAGGAATACATCCTTTACAGTTTGCACTTATACTCAAACTTTTCTCCTTCGTTCGATATATTTTGAAATGAGGTGACTTTAAACTTTTCGTTACTCACTCTGTCTCGGTGGGTTTGTGCAAACTCTCCAACTTCTGACCTGACTGCTTAAACAGGGCACAGTATTGACTATTGTGTTGAGCTGGAATTCATGAGGACATGCTGAACTGGGACTGTTTACTGAGGGCAGACAGAAACACTGTGTTTTGATGGCCAGTTTTTTTTTTTTTTTTGTTTGTTTTTTGTTTTTTCTGCTACCCGAAGGGAACGTAACCATGATCTTTTCCAATACCTGACAAACTGGGTTTGTTGCCTGAACCTAAGACATCGGACAGAACAGGCTTCTACTGTGTACACTATATTTTCATAAAGTGTGACAGCCCTTAGCGGGAGAGTTGAGACTACAGCGTGTGCTGAGGGCGATTTATCGCTGTAATTACAAGCTTCAGAGGCTCTTTCCTCCACGCTGTGAGAATGAAGAACTCATAAACGGGGGGGGGGGGTGGGCGTGAATCACAGCGAGCATCCTACAGACAGTAGTACGCTCCACACATCACAGCTCCTTATCCCCAGGCCTCCAGCATTAGCATACTCTCTCGTCTCTCTTTGTGAATTCATCCATCCTCACAAGAGACAGAATATCAATTCAGTTTAGGGGGGGACTACTTTTTCTCTGCGCACCATGAGAATACATCGGCCTTGTGATGTTTCCTCAGCGAGACGTAGATCAGTCATTGGTTCCTTTTTTTTCCAGTTGTTACTTCCTCTTTCTATTCATCCACGACAGAAGAAGAGATGATTTATGATTAATTTGCCATATCAACAAAGTTTGCTTGTCTGAATTGACTCAATGCATTACAGAAAATATAGTATGCTCTACATACCCGTTGCCTTTAATTATATAATAAAATCACAATAAAAAAAAGGCATAGAGAAGCAGAAGATTGCAGGTTTTATTAAATTAAAACCCCAAGAAATAGTAAGCCACGATTCTCATCTCATAATCAGCTCAGTGCTGCCTGGCTCAGTAAAGGCACCTCATGTTGATGTGTGAAAAGGTTAATGTTTGATTTCATTTAAATGTATTATCTTTCATCATGTTATGTCTGGTGAGGTGGCTCACCTGGACTATAAAACCCTGTAGGAAACCCTGACCTGTCAGTAAAGATGTGCAGAAGCCTTCACAGAGAGAGGAGACTAGTAGTTGGAAGGAACTAGTGCAGAAATTCTGAGCTTAATGTTGCGTGAAGGACTTTGTGGAAGACACGGGGAAAATGCAAGACATAACTTTCAGTGGAGTTGTACAGTCGGCAATCTATCAACTAAAATTGGAAACAAATCCCACATTTAGAAGAAGTCAGGTGCTGCCAGCTAATCCAGTCCGAGTTTGGCAGAGGTCCAGTAGTAATATCATGCCACTGTAATAAAGTTTCCATTATTATTATTATTATTATTATTATTATTATTATTACCATTTCTCACAGTCTGACAGTTTACTAGCATGCAGGAAGCCACTCGGTGTTAGCTAGCTGCTAAGTATTAAATTAACCTTGGTTTCCTGTGTGTGTGTGTGTGTGTGTGTGTGTGTGTGTGTGTGTGTGTGTGTGTGTGTGTGTGTGTGTGTGTGTGTGTGTGTGTGTG